TGTGCGCAACTTCAGCCAAGACGAGCTCTGGCATCTTCACTAGTAGGAGAGAGGAGTTCCTTAATTTTCAGATTTTCTTAAAACGTTTTCAGTTATTGCATTTGTTTTCGTGTAAGTGGTAGCCTTATCGTAAAGGGGGAAGGTAAGTTATATTTTCTTTAAAAACCCGTTGGTTTTACATGAAAGTACGAAAGGGAGAAAAAAGCAGACAAGTACAAAGGCGCGCAGCATTTATAGTTTAGAATTTATTCCAAATCTTGTTATTTTCTGTATAATATTTATTGCTTTGTGCTTCCATGAGCTTTGAGCTCTACTACCACCCACTTTTACTTTCGCAAGTTTTTTCCTTCGCCGTTAATTTCTTTCTTTTGTACGTTTGGTCGAACTGTTGATATAGGGCACGAGGGTAGGGCACATAGTCCTAAATTTATTAAAATTCAAAATATCAGCCCAATTCCGAACAACATATTTCAAGGCAAGTCATTTTTATATAAAAACATAAATAAAAGCCACATTCTACTAATTCAGAAGACGCAGTATACGAATATTGAGAGTAGAATGTTTGGCGTAAAACAACGGATCTCAGCTCCGTCCTGAAATGCTGCATTTTTATAGATTTCATACCGTTTTCGCTACACTGTTCTTAAAAACATTGGTCCTGCAAAAATAAACATTAATTTTGTGGTGCATTGTTGTTATAAATATCTATTTATTTTCCAATCTTTCTGTATGAACTTCTAGATAGCATACAATTTCAATTAAGCTACTGGAAGTGTATTTAGACCCTTATGGTGTTGTGTGCCTGAAGTGTGTTTCCTGCATCGCTGATTATTCATATAGCTCTGTTTTGCAATTTGAAGGTGCTTGTGCTTTCCAAATTTCGACCCCGGAAAACCAAACCATACCTCAGATGAACGCGAAAATATTCAAAGTAAATATTCCTTATAACGTATGGGGCCATTATATCCTGAAGATACCGTATCATGTATCTTTTTTACTTAGGTCGGCATTTAGATGTTTCACGTGTACCTGCTATTTCATATTTACATTAACATAGTGCAGTGTACGAGTATGTCAAACTGCTTCGCGGTACCGTGGAGTTCCTCGAAGTAGTGTCAAGGGTTCCGCTAGAGAATCCTGTGTAATGACAGACTAGCTGAAGTATAATGCCATTGCCGTCACAATAGTACAGTTAACTTTATGCATTACGTAGTTGCTTTTTAAGTCACATTATACCTATTTAGTTAAACAACATTTTCAGTCACTAGATATACATTCACAACTTAACAGTGTATCCTAGTCGGCATGCGCTTCTAGGAAGTATGCGGTGATAATTTTGTGACAATTGAAATTGCTGCGGAATAATACGGCTTCCAATGCAGATTGCAGGCTTACGCTCAGATTTTATGAAGTCATGAGTAATAGAGTTTTGACGGCTTATCAGTCCCAGTGACATAAGTCTAAGTAGCATTGAATGTAGGAGCCGGGATAGCTCAGTCGGTATGGCGATGGTATACGGGCTGGACGACTGGGGTTCGATTCCCGGCAGGATGGAGGTTTTTCTCATCTTCGCATTGTCCAGACAGGCTCTGGGGCCCACCCAGCCGCGTCGGGGGACGTGAAGCTGACGACTCACCTTCTAGTGCCCCTATACTTTCACTCTCCTGTACATCTTCTTTGCGTGGTGCTTAAGTAATTGAGCACGGGGACAACCTTACCGTTTTACCTTTATCATTGTATGTTTAAAAGATAAAAAAAGGTAAAGCTGTCCCTGTAACAGGCCATGAAGGCCCTCAGGGGTGTATGAGGTCGAGGCTCCCACATCTTCTAGACAGTCGGCTCACAGATGGCAGCAAGGTTGTCAGCCTTACGCGCCCGC